AACCCTAAACCCTAAACCCTAAACCCTAAACCCTAAACCCTAAACCCTAATCACGAACGAACCGATGCCAGAGTTGACTGACCTGCCGGAATTCTTGTAGCCCAGCATCGGTAAGTCCACCACGGAAGTTCACAGTTCCACCGTAGACCCGATTTCCCGTACGAGGCGTATGGCTTGCCTGCCAGTGGAGCGCATCGGACATGCTCCCCTGAACCGCGTCGGTCTCGTCGCCATCTTCTCCCGCCGCTTCTTCAATCAGCAGTTTGGCATCCACGCCGGCAAATTTCCGCCGGGCAATACCGATCGTGATCTGCCGCCACGCCTGGACATGAATATGCTTCCCTAGAACCAGCTTACCGGCCTCAACGATCACCCGGGTCATGGTATCAGTGGGCCACGGGTCGGTGCCCTGGGACCAGAGGTAGTCTGACGGCTTCGGTCCCCCGGTCTCCCGCTGAAGGAACTCTCGAAAGGGGTTCACGATGGCAAGATATTGCGTTATAAGCTGCGCGACCTCGGGCAGCAGGAATCGGACAGGCCATCGAGAGGCGTTGTTCTGATGCCGCGACTTATAGTAGCTGAGAATAAATAACATCTGTCCGTCGTGAAGGAAGAGATCACGCGTGGTCAGCGTGGTATTCCGCCACCGTAGGCCAATAAATTCGGTCCGACGTCCGTGCTGCCCTGACCCGAGAAAGAAAGGGACCATCACGACTCGAAGAAACCGCTGGACGGCATCCTCATACTGCTGGGTCGCATCGGCGGACACGACCCAACGACCCTCGGCATTGTGGGACCAGAAGGTGCGGAAAAGGGCAGGTGTGCGGCCGACCCGAGTGATCAACCAGTCCTTCACCGGATCCAGATAGCACGCGTTTCGCGAATCAGTCAGGAAGCATTGGCCGGGGGCGGTAGCATCCCAGTTGTCGACAAGCCCATCATACGCGATGGGGGGATCTCCGATGCCGGGCTAGAGCGCCCACTGAGGCAAAGCTCGACCTCCAGCATCCGCCGAGCCTCTGCAATCCGCTGAAAGATGATCTCGCGGACGTCGGAGAGGTGAAATATCACGTCCGACCAGACCAGAGTTTGGCCATCGGCGTGCCAGCGGATTTGTGCAGGGGGTACCTCCGTCTGGCTGATGCGGAACCCGAGCAGTCGGTTCTCGAGCAGCTCCGACAAAGGACCGTCAGTGTCATTCAAAGACCATTCATCCCGGATCGCAATGATCATGGCACTCATCTCCGTATCTCTATCCTCCACGGTCTCTGCTAGCACAGACGCGAGAATCACCATTTGGCAGTCGTAGATTAACTGCGATAGGATAGACGTATAGTTCCCGATCGCACACCACGCCCCTTGGGTAGGGCTCCAGAACCGTACCGCGGCATAGGAGACGAGGACCGAATCAAACTTTCGACGCGGGACTGGGTGCTGGATAATGGCAAGGCTGAATTGGAGCACAGCCTGGTCTAACCGCGCGCACAATGCTTTCTCGTCGGAACGGTCCAACTCGGACGCGGTGAGATCGACAATCTCGCTCGCGATCTCAGTCACCTCGATCCATATCTCAAGCTGCCGGGGGCTGGGTTGGAAGAGATTGTCCCGAAGTTGTTGCTGCTCCATGACGCGCTCCCAGTAGCATACTAGTTGCTGCCAGGTAGTGATGTATCTCTGGCGCGATCGTTCATTCTGGAGACTTGAGATAGGGTCCTGGGACGTTTCTCCCCGGGCAAAGGTGTTGAGAAGCCGGGCGTTACGGCGACTAAGCTGACGCACCTCCACATCTTGGTCATGGACCAGCACTACCATCGCGGCCTCGAGAACTCGATAAATGCTCTCGCAAATGGCAAAAAGTAGCGGCTCCTGATCCTGTCGTGGCATTCGATAACTGGGACCTAGGTCTTTTACCTCCAGCCCTTCGAGGTGGACATGGATGCCGGCCCGCTTCATAAACGGAGTGACCTCGGATACATGGCGGGCTGCGGCGATTGGATTTCGCGATGGCCGAGAGAGACTCTGTTGGTATCGACGCATAATCTGGTCCCATGCATCGCCGGCGATGGGAGACGAACAAGGTTGCTCAGCAGCAGATGGTGGGGCATTATTCGGGGCATTGGCATATCGATATATATATTGAGGGGCGGGGGACGGGAGCTGGTCTGTAAGAACCACGGCAAAGTACTGTTGACATTGTTTCTGGTGGAACAGCGTCTGCAAAAAAGCCTCGTGCCAGGGAATCGCTCCCTGTTGCACAACTTGCCAGTGGTGATGTTTATTATAGTGCTGTCGGATCCGGTCTTTGCTGCTCGAGCGAAAGTCACAGTGAGGGAGGTGGCAGAGGAAACCGAGCACGGTCGGCAGGCCGCGAATCTCATTACAACCATCCTGAGGCTGGATCACCCCGGCACTGGTTTGGGCCACCGATTGAAGCTCGGGCGCCGATTCGATAGTTTGCCGCTGTCTACTCTTGATATGGTGTTTGTCGAGGAGATGGCGCGAGAGATTGGTTCGGACGTAGCAGCAGCCATGGGTCGTGCATAGAACCACCCGGCAATCCGAGAGAACTTTGAGATACGGCGGCAGCGAACTGCGGTCGTTCTCGATAACCGACTCCTGAATGGATTCAGTGGCGCTTTGACTGGATTGTGACATAGTTAAAGAACATTAAAATCGATTAATGTAGACCTACAACCCCAGAATATCGTGAACTTCAGCGTGGGTTCTCCTGAATTTCAGCGGGCACTAGTCTACTTGGGGCCTAGCGCCGGCAGCGACTTAGTTGTTCGACTGCTAAAGCTCTCCACATCTTCTCCACCTTCTACAAAAAAAATACTCTAATGGCGCCCGGCGACTCAAGTCTATTCGTTACGCATATTCTCGGGCTAGAAGGGACGCGCCGGCGGATTATCAGGCGAATCCAGGATAACTAGGAGCCGGACGATGCAGCTATTGATGAAAGGCTGCATAAGTGGGTAGAGGAGAAGATCCTGCTGTTTTCAAAATCCCCGACTGGCTGGGTGGGTATAAACTCAATGAAGCCGAAGGGATCTAACCAAGATAAATGTGTACGACTTCTAATGTTATGCCCCTTACTTCTTTCTGTTATATAGGATACTGCAGTCAACTGCTGTGAGCTATGAATAAAGGCAACACCCAGCGTTATAAGTCCTACGACACTCGATATCCTAGTACCTTGGACTTACCGTGATACCTTCTGAAGATCAATATCGTGGAGAAGGCTTGGTAATGGTGAGTAGTAAGTGGATTATAAAGGTGGATTCTGAGTGTTATGATTTCCCTATGCTTCCCTTGTGCAATATATATTTTCATGGTGAGTTTGTCGGAAGACTACAATTGTACGGTCGGAAACAATAATTTTCCACTACATCACAACCACCGGCGCTAGAGAACTGTAATTTGGCAGGAATATAATTTAATTCGTAGTGATTCATTGTGATTTCTCAAAATTCGAAAGTAGTGACTGGAAAGGTTAGTAGAGGGATTCTGAATAACGCTGTTGGTTTTCCTGAATAACAGCGTGCGCTAGTCGGTTTTCTGCCTAGCTCCCGCACTCTTAACTATGTAGGGTTTGAGAATCACGCTGTTATTCAACGTGGAATAGTTATAGGGACTGGCGCCTCGCGAACTGCCGCCGGGATTCGGTTCTGGGGAATTGCGAACTGGTGAACTGGGTCGGCTGGACTGGGCAACCGCCTGCGCTTCGTCCCACAACTTCTCCCACGCACGCTGCTGTCGCCGGGTGAACGAATACTTCGGACTGCTCCACTCGTGCGGAGCCTGTGTGCGCGCGAAAAACATCAACACCTGCTGCCACGGCATGCTGTGTTTGACGATGGCCTCTTCCACCATGTACGCCTGCAGCGGCTTGGTGGGCGTCTTATCGCGCTCGACCCGTACGGCTTCGATCTGGATGGTGTGGCCCACGCGCGCGCTGACTTTTTGGCTTATACGGGCCACGGCGGCCATGGAATCCCAAATCGCGGCCGCGGTTAATGCTGCCTCGCTGCGGTCCTCGGGTTCCGGTTGTTGGACGCACTGGACTAAGTCATCGGGGTTTAAACCGGCTAAATACACGGCCCACTGCGTGCGACGTAACCACGGGTTCGCTTCGTCCTGCTGGCCGACTTCGATGTGGATGGGTTGGTGGATGTGTTGCTGGTATAACTCTTCCATCTTGTCTAGCTCCGCGTGGATCTGGGACGCCTGCTGAACGGGGGGCTCAACTGGTGGATTCTGGTCCGTACTATGGCCCTGCACGTGAATGTAATGCCTACCCGTGCCGTGGTTAAACGCCTGTTGGTATGTCACCGTGCGGCTAAACTGCTGGACCTGCTCTTGGGCGGCTTGACGGGTTGCGATACGGGGACGACCTTTGCTACTAGCTGGTGTCCAACCGTGTGTCTTACGCCAGTGCTGTTTCATAACGTCGATACTATGAACCACGTAACCACAATCTGATTCTCGTGTACATAAAATGCCATCGGCATGCACGATTAACCCGGGAATGGGTTGATTTACCGTGGTGGGCACTTCCCAACGTTCGCACTCCTGGACTCTGTCCCACTGTTGGATGGCATGCTGTAACTGCCTACCGGTGGGCAATCCTAATCGGTGTTGGGCTCCTTGCACATGACGGCTGATCTCACTGGGCCTAACACCAATCTCACAATCCTTGCATGTAATAATGGGAAATTCCCCCGGTTTGGAAAAAAGTTGGTTTTCCATGTTGTGTGTGTGGATATATATACAAATATATGTAACAAATATCCAAATTGTATACCAAACTGGGGTGGATGAAGTGGTCAAGTTTTTCCAAAATTGAACTGGACGATAGCTGGGACTTCTAAATACCCCTGAATTTCTTCTTAACCCCGTATTCATCTAATTGAACTTTGGACTGATCAACTTGTTAACCCCAATGTTGATGTTATGGGTGGTTTGACTGCGGTCGCATATCCACATCTGCGCCCTCACCAAAAAAACTCCCGATTTCTAATCGCATAAACCTCCACTAATACTGGTCGAATTAACTATTAATTGGAACTATACAAAATTCACTACGAGGAATATAACTCCTGATAATCTGAGCATGATCCGACGCCAACTACAAAAACGAGTGGGGGTCTGAAAATTAAAGCGAGTGGCCGTGGACCCACCTTTTTTCTCCCATATAAAAATGCAAAGCCCTAATCCGAGTCACGGTGACTCCCCCTCCCCCATGGGATAGGGTGCTGGAGAAGCTGCTTAATGCAGAAAAGATCGTTATGTATGAATAAATGGCATTACTTATGCAGAAATAAGCATGTTTATCTGATACTAAAAGTGCATTTTTTACTATGTAAACCAGAATTTAAACATATGTTACGAGCCAATTCTTCGATAAAAAGAGTGCATTTAACGAGAATTCTAAACATGGGGAAGAAAGGAAAAGAGAGAGAGAAAAGAGAGAGGAGATGCACCATATAGGTGCACCACTATCACAAGCCGATTCCACCTCTCTATCACGTGACAACATGCATCCAATCTTCAGATCGTAACAAACATGCAGAAATTTGTCTGGCAGAAAAAAATAATGCTAGAAAGTCATGTGATATTCAGGCATCTTTAGGCAATTTCAGGCAGGGGGGGTCTAAATAGGTAAAGGGGGGTCCGAACATCCAAAGGGGGGGTCCCTGTAACAATCCCCCGGTTGTTTAGCGCCTGATCATCACAAAATTGGTGCACGGACCCTGCGAGGCAGAATCTCTGGGAAGTCGGCTGAAACCAAAAATTGGGTGGATGTAATGTCGAGAATTTAGGGTAGTTGGGAGTCCCATATAGTGTTGTTTTTAAGATTGGTAATCTATCAAAGGGTCGGCTAGATCAATACCAACACCGCACTATGCTATAAATAAAGGGGATTGTTGCAGGGACCCCACCTTTGGATTAATACTGATCTGATGCTCTAGCTAAGTGTGTATGAAAGTCTTATCTTCCCTAATAGCTTTGTATTAAGAGTTGAACTTGTTTCTGGCTAATAACTCTCGACAGAACTCGTGACCGTCGGAGCTCGAGGATTTTGAAGGGGTCTACGAGCTAAAATAGTCACACAGCACGGGCGACGGGTGCACGCAGAATTGTATAATCAGGACTAAGACAAACTGTATTCGAATGAACATTTGTAAAGCCAATTATTCGAGTATTCGAGTGCAGCCCTTCTCTATACTTTACTGGCCCTTGGATCAGCTCCCATTCGCTTCTATGTTTAGTGAAGCGGTGAAGGCGGTGACGGACTAGCGCGACCGCGCCCCCTGGCATTGACTCACGTCCTGACAGAAAATTCATTTCAATTACTTGCATATGTGCCCCTGGCTACTTGCTACTGAAATACCAAACCAGCTTTCTACCTCGTTCATTGCTGTTTTTTGGAGGATGAGTGATCCAGACATTCAAACACTAGGTCTTGCCGCCAAGTCAAAAGAAGAAGGAAATGCCTACTATCGGAATAATAGATATGAAGATGCTGTACGTTCATATAGGGCAGGCCTGGAATCTACAGCACACGTGCAGCAGTCTATACCTTGGAGGAGGATCCGATTTGATCTGCAGTCAAACATCGTTCAAACTTTGTTGCAACTTGGAAACCTCAATGGCGACGAGCACGAGATATTATTGCAGATGATGTCTTCAGCATCGGCCGACCTCGAACCCGCAAAGCTTGTCAAAGCGTTGTATCGATGCGCTCGGGTATACTTTGAGAAAAAGCAGTTGGAACAAGCATCGAACTGCCTACGGTGTTCTTTGACATATGATTGTCAAAATCAAGCAGTGCAGAAGTTGATACGAGATGTCCAAATGAGTTGTCTGTCCAAGCTACATGACATAGAAGCTTTGACACTATCGATTCCGCCAGATGGATCAGTTGACTCTGAAAAGCCCTGCAACATCTGTTTTGAACTTTCCTCAGGGAAGCAAATATGCAAGTTCAAATGTGGCCACCTGTTTCATCCAGAATGTATATTAGGGTGGATGACGGACAAAGAACTAGAGGTGACGTGTCCCGTGTGCAGGAAGGAATTTGTCTAGCTTTGCTGCATGTATCATAAGAGAATTGATATAACTTCAGTGCTAGCAGTGGGGTCTGACTTATGTATTGCGTTTTCTACTCTCTTTTTTTCCCCTAACGTCTCGAAAACCGATCGACTTGAATTCCAGAGTGGACGACTTAGTTACCTCGATTGACAATAGAGTATAGATATGTCTTCAACAGCCTCGTATTCCATTAATTTGGATGGTCACTTTCGCGCCATATCAATGGCCGGATCTCGATGAAGTTAGTGTGAAGGGATTCGGTTGTCAATTCACGATCTAGCATCTACCGTTCACTGACCTTGGGGAGAGGCTATGGTTGTTCCTGTGCTTGAGAAAGTTCTAGCTATGTTGGCTGTTGACCGCTGTTGACTGGATCATCTATAATTAGATACAGCGGGAGCTCCGATACCTAGGGGGTTACAAGGACTATGCTAAGTGAGAAATACTGTCTCATCTCTTCTTTCACCGCCCGTCCCTGAACCGAGCCAACGTTCTTGATTCAGGGCATATTCGCAAATGGATCTCAGGGCACCAATTTTGGAAATTGCCTTTTCAAAGACATATCGCCTTCTGTCACAATACCATTTTGACTCTCGATATCCAGCTGACAAAAAAATGACGATCGGATTTTTGAACTGGATTAACTTTCGCGACCGTGATGTCCGCCGGAAACTTCGAGTGAAAATAGTTTTTATTGAAAACTCAAGCGAAGCATCCGAGACCACCAATGATATAATTCAAAATATGATGACGCCATCACACCTGAAGGTCTATAAGGAGAGAGAGAAGGTCAAGAATACTTTCGAAGCCGAACCAATCGAACGTCTCCTGCAGATTTCTAAGATACTTGTCGACAAGGGTCACGCCGAAATGGAAAGTGGCGATGAAAAGGCAGCCAAAGACGCTTACCACGCCGCTTCATACTCACTATCTGAGTGGGACGCTCAGCGTGGTTTCAACACCTCTGGATGGGCGAATATAAGTTTTGAAGCTTTAGCTTCCTTGTGCGAGATTTATGCTCATCTTAACCAAGCTCAAGAAGCCCTCCAGGCTGCTGAGCGGGCTCTTCGTCTCGATATAGCATTTACTGAGTACCTGTAACGGGCCAAGGCCACATTGAAGCCCGGGCTCTGCCCGTGCAGGCACCACACCCGATACTGCCACGACGGCCAGCCTTACCGCCCTGGAGGACACTGTATACTATAGTTGACCGCCCCTTTATTTACAGTTCCTTAAGATCTATGTAAACAGCATGCAGACACCGTCCAATTGAATCAATTCGACTGTAGCCCCTCACATACATAGATCTTCCTCTTTCACATAGAGTACCAACGGAACAACATCGGAAAGCCCTCGAATCGACGAGGCATATTGGAAGTCTGCGAGATTGTCCGCAGCACATCGTACATCGGAAAGCCCTCGAAGAAGAGTCGAGGCACATTGGAAGCCTGTGGGATCGTCTGCAGCATATCGCATATTGGAAAGTCCTCGAATCAACGGAGGCACATCGGAACGTATACGACTCGGCACGGGAAGCATGTCGAACCAGGAAGGATATCCAAATCCCTCCCCGATGGGGTCACCACCTCAATGGGCACAAATGATGATGCACAAATTGGAAGCTCTCTCCACCGAACTCGCACAAGAGAAGCTATTACGAGCGGAACAAACTCATCAACTTGAGTTACTACGAAGCGCTGGTGCAGCGCCGGAACCCCCCGTTTAGCACCCGAAACGACGGCGAGCCACACCCCAGCGCCAACGGAATACTTAGAAGCGACTACCAGGCGTCCTCGTGCGAGGTTGCCAGACCCAGCAAAGTTCGCTGGCTCGACATCAGATTGGCCATCGTGGAAGATCACAATAATCAGTAAGCTACAAGTCGACGGAGAAGCAATTGGGTCCGCCTCAGACCAATTGATTCATATCTTTACCCGCCTCGAGAAGCTTGCATGGAAGAACACGACCGCGTTCATGCAACAGCGGAAGGATACTGCGTCCCCACACGAATTGCTAGCGTATCTAGAGCGAATCTATGGAAACCCGAATATCCAAGCCCAAGCAGCGCGTAGGCTGCACGTCCTTAAGCAAAAAGGAGACCAACCATTCTCGAAGTTCTTACCCCAGCTAGAACGTGAGTTTGCAGACGCTGGAGCGCTTGAATGAGCAGACGAGCCTAAGCGACAGATCGTTTTAAACACCCTGAACGAAACGATGACGGACGCCCTACGACACCGTGGCGTTCCTAAGACGTTCCAAGGTCTGATTGACCAGCTACACGAGATCAGCACGGACTACGACACATTAGATGCACCACGGAGCCGCGCTAAAAAGACCTGGAAACCCCAGAAATGGGAAGAACACTACGACCCCATGGACTGGACGCCGTCCGTTAGTGCGGTGAAAGCGAATCGCTTCGCTCGCGATTCACCCCCGAACCGAAGCAAAGATCAGCACCTTACCGGTAAACGCGCTGAGTGGGTCGAATCAGAAGAGCTCTACAGGCGACGTGAAGAGGGACTCTGCATACGTTGCGGACGGCCTAGCTGCCGTATCGCGACCTGCCCTCTTAAACCAGCGAAACGTCCTGAAGAGATAAAGAAACACCTTAATGCCAATAAGTCGGAGAAGAGGCACCGAAACGGTCCCGTTTCGACTAAGAAAAGCAGGAAGCGCGAGGAAGTTGCTGCGGTCACAGAATCGTCTAGTGAAGCCGAATTCACTACGGCGTCTGAATCATCCGGATCGGAAAAAGAGTAGCTCTTGTTCTCAGTCGCGAACAAGAGCTCGAAGGAGTCAAGAAATTAGAGAAGAGCACCGAGCCTCTATTCTACGTCGATGCGTGCCTAAATAGCGAACGATTCGTCAGAGGTCTCGTCGACAGCGGATGCGATAGTTACGCTACAATTAATGAAAGACTCTCTCTCTCTCTTGAACTCCCGCGCATTAGACTTCCAAAGTCTCTAATACTAGACGGCGTGGTAGGAAAACAGGGTCGAATCACACACGTTACGTGCCTTGACCTCGATATACATGGCCACAAACAGAAAAACGTATTCGCGTACGTGATCCCAAGGCAAGTCGACGACCTAATCCTAGGAAAACCCTGGGAAACGGACGTGAAACGGACGTGAAACGGAAGCGGACGTGAAACGGAAGCGGACGTGAAACGGAAGAGTTCCGCGAATAGAGGATATATCGACATCTTCTCAAAAGAAGGAACTAGAACGCGGTGTTGGAATCGTCGAGACGCATCGATTGGCCTCCAGAACGTAAAACGCCTGCAAGTGCGGAGAGCAAGCGCTCAACAGTGCGGACGAATTTGCGAAGGCGCATCGAACGACCATCGGTTACGAATCGGCCGGGTTTCGATGGCTGATATCGAGAAAGCACTACAACCGAAAGAACCAGTGGACCCAAAGACAAAGTTACCCAAGCAGTACTGGCCCTGGTTAGATGTCTTTAGCCAACGATTGGCAGACGAACTGTCCCCGAATCGCCCTGGAATCGACCATCGAATCCAGCTGAGAACCGACGACAACGGGAACGAACTTCCACCCCTATATAGCCCCTTATATAGAATAAACCGAGAAGAACTACTAGTACTGCGTAAAACGCTCACCGACCTACTAGACAAAAACTTTATCTGTGTGAGTCGATCACTAGCCGCTTCGCTAGTGCTTCTGGTACGAAAGCTAGGAGGTGGCATCCGGTTTTGTATCGACTACCGAGGCCTAAACGAGTTGATAGTTAAAGACCGTTACCTATTACCCTTAATCCGTGAGACACTCCGGAATATATCGAAGGCACGATAGTTCACGAAGCTAGACGTTATAGCCGTATTCTATAAGATCCGAGTATAACTAGGCGATGAGTATAAGACCGCGTTTCGTACACGATACGGGCTTTACGAATAGAATGTGATACTATTCGGCCTAATAGGCGCCCTAGCCACCTTCCAACGGTATATCTAGTCTTCCGCAAAGCCCAACTTTGGGCCCAAGCCCAACCCCCGGCCCACCGTGGGTTGGGCGTGGGCCCCCACGAAAGCCCACCAATGCATAAAATATCGGTCTTGGCATTCATAAAGCTGCTGAATTATCAAGGTAAATAACTATTTTTTACATGTGTTCCGGTTTGTATACTGAATATTTGGATATTACTGCTGATTCTACCTTGAAGTTTATAAAATTAAAGCAAATGTATAATAAGATTAAGCTATACTCTATATATTACCAGTAAGAATCACATTTTCATAATGTTTTGGTGGTTTTATATCGTTTTTGGTTCTTGTTGATCTTAAAGTGCTAGAAATATATATTTCTCCTAGTGGGGAGTTTGTAAATTTCCCTATGTAAGTAAAAATCCAGGTTAAAATCTCTTATAGCTGTTTAATCTAGTTATATTTAATACCAAATTAAATGTTTATTTCTCTATACTTTGATTATCCTTTTAGATACCTACTAACTTATATATTGTATGAATGGTAAAGGTTTGAAGTTCTCTATGTCCCGACCGGGTGAAATTTTTTGAGAGAGAGATTTTGGTTAATGGGCTGGGAATGGGCTATTAATGGGCTTTTGGTGGGCTTTTGGTGGGCTATTGAGGGGATTGATGGGCTTTTGATGGGCTTATGCTACTTAGTTTATATCTATCTAATTACTAACTAGCGAGTACTTTTGTTAAGTTGATATATGGATTTTTTTGTTTGCCTTGTATACTATCATAGTAAATCTATCACTTTGTAATGTATATCCCTTTCCCTTCTCTTTATCCCCTTACTACTGATATTTTTACTGATATTACAATGTCCCAAAGTCAACAGTCCGACTTTGCATCATCTTTATATGGTGGAGACTTTGATAATTTAGTTTATCTTACTGCCTCTCAGTGTCCTGCTACCCCATCTGGTAGTCAGCCTACGCTTGAGATCCCCGAAAGCTCTTTTCTTCGACCAGCAGTTCCTCTGGTCCCTCCTTCAATCTTGAACGCACTGGACCCGATCGGCGAAAGTTATACCTACTATATGACCCTATGAGTCATAACGACTGGGTGGAATGGTGGTTACAAACCGATTATGGATCTAAGAGCAAGATCGGATGGGACTCAAATCACCTCTCTTCTGTGTGGAAACACTATGTTCAGGTTGCCCATAGTATTGATGGTACTGCAAAAGTTATGTGTAAGCATTGCTCAACAATTCTTAAGCACCTTTATACTATCAAAAAAGATATTCATGGGAAGGAGGGGCGTCATGGTACAACTACTATGACAAGACACCTTAAGACCTCTGCTTGTCAAAAGGCATCAGGTCTTAATAAACAGAAGGGAGAGATATCAAAATTTCTTCAACAAATGGTATGTAAAGTCCTATTTTATTATTATATTATTAATTTTTCTCTATTAAGGACACTTCACCCAATTAGACCTCGTCCTCACCCGCACCGAGTCCCTCAAACTGGAATTGAAAACCGACCCGCATGCGGGTCGGTTCTCTCAGAGGGAATTGGGAGCCGACCCTCAACCCGCATTGCTCTGCCAAGACTTACCCTCACCGACCCGCGTCACCCGCAAATACATAATTATTTCCTAATTGAGCTGCACAAAATGGATGATTCATTTGATAAATTACTGTTATTTACTGTTGTTTTGTTCACCCTTCTCTTTACTCACAACAACTCTTCCTAACCATATGTAAATTTAGGAAATCATTATGTATATCTTATTTATAGTATACCTTATACTAGTTTTAAGGAATGAAAACACTAGAATCTAGGTTTGGGTTGTAGTGGAAGGACATTTTAGTAGTCCATGTGTATTATAAGAGAAATATATATTTCACCTACAAGTATAGAGTCTATACTTTAGCTGAATTCTACCATTTTATCTTTCCACCTTTAATTGTGAATCTCCTACTAAATTTTGTCTTACTCTAATATTAATTATAAGATCTTTTATTTAGGTTTATTAGAAACCCTTAGATTGTATAAAATATGGCTCCAAATAGTAATCAAAGATTATAACCCGGTTCAAACTAGAGTTCAAAACTACTAAGACTTCATTGCGGGTTATGAGGGTGACCCTCATATTTTGCGGGTGACTCGGCGGGTGACCCTCATAACCTGTAAACATATAGCCAATTAGCGATAAAATTGAACTAAAGTGGGTCTATAGATGTGATACATCTATCCATAGTGACTAGGATACCAAAATCTATAGTGAGTCCTGAGTCCCATCGTACATTTGTTCAAGGCCTACGGTCGCAAAAAAAAGAGTATGTCCTCGATTCCTTCATCTTTTACTCAATTACATTAGAAGGACATATAATCATTATGTCTCAGCGTTCGCTTTTCTCTGATTTACAGTCATCTCTCTATGATGATGATAGTCAGCTTGATAATACCTCATTCGACTTTACTAACGATCTATTGGTTCCCCAGCTCCAGACACCTGAACCTACAGGGAGCCAAAGCTCCTTACCTCCTTCCGATTTCGCGCGACCTTCGTTACCCCCTCCCGTCCCCGATAATCTACAACGGGTTGGTCCTGATCGTATAAAACAATACGTTCTTTGGACAATGGAAGATAATACCGACTTTACAGCCTGGTGGATCCATACACATTTTGGGAAGCAGAAGAAAGTAAAGTGGGATGGGAAACATTCCGCCGAATGCTGGGGTAAATTCGACCAGGTAGCCGATATTCGCAATGGGAAACCTTGTGTGATGTGTAGGAATTGCAACCGAGTCCTTGATCACCCAGGAGCTGGCCGTGGTGGAACATCTTCAATGAACAAGCATATTGAGGGGGTTAATTGCCGGAATGCCAGTAGAAGGCCAAATATCAAGAAGGCTATGGAACATGCGGTAAGACTATTAAATCCATATAGTCTATTATATTCTAACTTATATACTAGGCGAGTAGTCCTACTACTAAGCCAGTATCTTTCTCCCAGGATGGATGGGAGCGATCGATTCTTAGGTTAATCACTACGTCTCGTCTCCCTTTCCAGTTTGTTGAGCATATAGCCTTTCAGGAGGTTATTTCTTATGCTCGACTTCCCGCAATACCCCCCCAAATACCATCTTCTAAGGTCATAAGACGTCGGCTTAAGGACTTTGTTCTCGAGGCACAACAAGGCGTTCTTCGAAAACTTCCCCCTAATGCTAAGCTATCGCTTGCATTAGATTGCTGGACATCGCCATTTCAACAGGCTTTTATGGCTGTAACAGGCTATTTTCTTGACCAAGATTGGGAGTATCGAGAGATCCTTCTTGGTTTTGAGCCTCTTTCTGGATCTCATTCTGGTGTCAATCTTAGTGCTAGTGCTGTTTTGATGTCACTTCTACAACAACACGATATCACAAACCGTGTGCTCGCTATCACAACAGATAACGCCTCAAACAACAATACGCTGATATCGAGTCTCCAAGACTCAATTGACTCACTTGAGATCAATAATGATTCAGCTATTATCCGAGTACCATGTATTGCACATGTGATCCAACTGAGCCTTAATGATCTTCTTGGCAAAATGAAAGCAATACCAACAAACAAGACAGCTGAGTTAGATTGGTATGAAGGCCGGGGTAAATGCCCTCGCAAAGGTCCTTTGACAAAACCATCTAAAACGCTTGAGATTATCCATACTCTAGACAAGGTAAGACTTTAGCCCTAAATCTACACTTAACGCTAACCTTAACACTATTATAGATTAGGCAACTAGCAGTTTTCATTAATGCAAGTCCACAACGGCGGGATTCATTATATAAGCTTCAGTCCATAGAACCAAAGCTTGTACCAATTCAAGATGTGAAGACCCGCTGGAACTCGACTTTTTTGATGCTCCGACGTGCGAAAAGGCTCCAACCATTTCTTGAGCCATTCTGCAAGCAATACCAGATGGACGAGCTTGTGATCACTCGCGAGGAATGGCGCCAAGTTGAATATCTTCTCTGGATCACCCATCCCTTCTACCAATTTACCACTGTGCTTTCGCAGACGAAGGATGTCACTATCCACTTGGTATTTAGTATATACAACAAGCTGTTTACTCATCTTGAGCAATCGAAAGCACGGCTCCAACGGAAGAAAGTTCTATGGAAAAAGGTGATGCTTGATGCCCTTAGGGCTGCTGAAACCAAACTATCACAGTACTATGGTATGACTGATGATATGCATGGTGATCTTTATGCAATTGGTACTATCATGTCCCCACAGAACAAGCTCCAATTCTTTACAAGTAAAGATTGGAAGGATCCGGAGGTTAATTGGCGAGGTCGGTATCGGAAGAGTCTTGAAGATCGCCTTGAACCATATAAGCACCGTCTTGTACATGGAGAGGAGCCCAGAGCGGTGTCTTTAAACTCAGGACTATCCGAACTTGAGAAGATATGTGGGCAGGCACCACCTCTATCGGAAGCATCATACTAATGATGACGAACTAAGCCAGTATCTTAATAGTCGTGAGTACTCTGGACCCCCTTATTATATTATAACTAACCCTAAATATAGCCACTATTGCGACTGCGCCTCGTGTTTTTTGGAGAGAGAATGAGCGTGTGTTCCCCGCGCTTGCTGCCTTAGCGCGGGATATACTCACTATTCCAGCTACTGGAGCTGGAGTTGAGCGACTTTTTAACTCTGCGCGCGATGTATGTCACTACCGTCGGGGTTCTTCTAAAACCATCGACCATTCAAGAGCTTATGATGTATATGTTTACATCAAAGTTTGAGATGGAGGATGAGGAGCGTCTACTATTAAATGAGTATCTCTCATTCCAAGAAATACAAGCGGAAGGCGAAGAACGCGAAAACGGTATAAACGATCTAGAACCGATTAGTGATAATGAGGAGGATGATATTGTGGTAGTGGAGATACCACAGCCAAGTGCGGTTGTATTGGGAAAACGGCGGAGAAGTGTCGTATCTGTTAACGAGGACGATGGAAATGGCGAGGATGAGGGTATTGAAGAAGATGATATTGAGAACGATATAGATCTTCCAGTTTACCGTACAACTGGAAGGGCGCGAGTGCGCTCAGTACGTCTAAATGGTTATGATACAACGATGAGATAGTCATTTTACAATTGGAATGCCCTCATTTTCTCTAAATTCAACTGTAAAGAAAATAGAAATCAGAAGCTACAAGATGGAAAGTGAAAAACACAAGAATAATCAAAAATACAGACCAAGTCTTCATAATTAATGCAACTGCCAAGAATTAGGTGTTTGTCCTGTTTGTGGACCCGAAACAAGTCTGCGGGTGACCCGTACCAATTCCCTGGCCCTCCGAGTTCTACCCGCGAGTCCTAGGTAAGGACTCGAAACCCGCAAAATGCGGGTTGAGGGTCGGGTCGGTTCCGAGTCCATGCGGGTGAGGACGAGGTCTACACCCAATGAAACATTCACACAAGAAGATTGGGAGAATGATATTCTCCAGTTTATTACCCTTAACCGACTCCCATTCCATCTCGTCGAGCACCATACTTTTCGAAAATTGATATCCAGAGCCCGAGCTAGCCCAAGCGAGCCAAAGATACCCTCTGCCGATACTTTTCGTCGACGATTGAGGAGCCAAGTCAGGGAACGACAACAATTTATCCTCAAAATGCTTCCAGAAAATTCAAAGATATCAATTGCACTAGATTGTTGGACATCTCCATTTGGACAGGCATTTATAGCTATTACTGGCTATTTCATCGATATAGATTGGGTGTACCGAGAGGTGCTTCTTGATTTCAAACCTCTTCATGGCGCTCATACTGGCGCTAACATGAGTAGCATGCTATTACAGACCCTTGTTGATCATGATATCCAAGATCGAATTTTTGGATTAACAGCAGACAATGCATCAAACAACAGAACACTGGTTGATTCTCTACAGCAGGCTTTACCTCCTGATGTTAATATCATCCGGACCCCTTGTCTTGCACATGTGATCCAATTAAGCTTGAAACAGCTTCTTGATTGTCTCAAAGCTGCTCCACTCACTGACACCACTGAGACTAAGTGGACTGAGAGTCAATCTATATTAGCTAAGGCGAATGCACAAACCAAGAATCGGGGAATCTCCCATACCTTAAACAAGGTCCGATATCTTGCAGTCTTTATCCGGGCAAGTCCACAGCGCCGGGATGCATTTTTAAAGATCCAAAAACATGAGCTAGGACTTATGCCAATTCAGGATGTGCGAACTCGGTGGAATTCAACATATCTGATGCTTCGCCGGGCAAAAAGACGTCGTGACTATTTTGGGCCCTTTTGTGCAGATTATAGTTGTGATTATATGGCATTAAACAATGAAGAATGGCGTCAAATCGACTATCTTCTTTGCATCACTAAGCCATTCTTTGATTATACACTTGCTCTTTCAAAGACTCGAGATGTAACTGCACATCTTGTGTTCCGGATCTATAATGCAATTTTTGAGCATTTGGAGAAGTCTATATCCCAGCTAAAGCGGAAGCGTGTTATGTGGAAACAGCAAATGCTCTCGTCCCTTGAAGCAGGCCGACAAAAGCTTGATGAATATTACTCGCAGACGGATGAAGTTCGGGGGCATATCTATGCAATTGCTACTATGTTAGCTCCTGATAGCAGATTCCAATTCTTTCTGTCAGACGATTGGGACAAAGAATGGCGTGATATATATCGTATCTCATTTCGAGATGCATTGTTTCCTTACCAACAGCATCTTGCTAGTTCTCAGCACCCTAAAGACTCCTCTACAGGAGTAAGGCAAAATTCATCACTGCAAAACTTGCTTAATGGCCAAAAGTCTAAAGCAAAGCTAGTTCGAGATGAAATCACTCAATATCTTGACGGTGGTATGTATGAACTTCATTTAGTATAATGTTGTTGATACTAATTATTTTAGATGTTACTGATTCTGAGCCTCTTTCCTTCTGGAGAGAGCACCAAGCCCGTTTCCCAGCAATCACTTTACTTGCACGAGATATTCTCTCAATTCCAGCTACAGGTGCTGGTGTGGAGAGACTATTTAACACTGCTCGTGATATCTGTTATTATCGCCGTGGTTGTATGAAGTCCGAAACAATCCAAGAGCTTATGATGTATCTTTGTACATCCAAATTCGAGCTTGAGATTCAAGAGGCAAAAGAGCTTGAAAAGTTCTTCTCTTTGGATGAGATTGAAGCATTAAGGGAGGAGAAGGATGAGAGATCTGAGGATGTTGAATCGGATAGTATTAGCGATACTGAAGAGCAAGCTATAGCAGATTCTGAGGATCTTATTGATGTGATTACTGATAATGATGTTGATGGTAATCATGTCTCTGCTAATACTCATGCTGTTGAGCTACCACTACCAGAGCTTGGTCCGCGGATACGTACTTCTGGGAGGAAGAGAAAGATCACTTTAGATGATGAATTTGAGAGCTACTAGCAGATAGTGATATATAATAAATCAGAATGTGTTATATTTGGTTAATTACTGTTTTAATTTACGTGAAAACTAAAATTTGTAAATGAATTACCCAAGATTCGAGGCAAAAGATGCATAAATTATGAACTACAGGAAAATCAGTATGTTTGCACTATTTGTTAATTGATAGGCCCCCATTGGGGGCCCACGATGGGCCGTAGGCCCAAAAAAAAAGCCCAAAGCCCATTGTGGGCTCAAGAATCGGGCCCAAGCCCAACCCATTCGTAGGTTGGGTTGGGTTGGTCTTTGGGCTTTGTGGGCTTTGCGGAAGCCTACTTGACGACAATGCCGATTCCCGAGACCTTTCTCCTCATCCAACAGCTACGGACCCCGGTAGAACGTCTGCTAGTCCCTCACTCAATGAAGCACTCGGCGAAGCACTCGGTGAGCTGCTCGATGAACCATTAAACGAACCACTCAGCAAACCACTCAGCGAGCCACTCAGCGAACCACTTACCCCAAGGCCACACTCGCCGATCCGGTCACCACCAATTATAGCTCAATAGTCTCGAGCGGTCTTAACCACCCTATCCGACTACCAACTAGCCCCAAAGCCCCTTGCGGAGTGCTTAGTGCAACAACTTGTCCAGCATCACGGCTGTGAAGCTATAGACCATCAACCTCCGCCTCCAGGGCCCCACGAGGTCTCCCTCTCCACCATGACCGGCTGGACATGTCCTGATGTGCTCAGCAAGCAAGAGATTGCCCACGTCGACCCAATGGGAAGCGCTCCTCCCGGCTCATTATCGGCGTCATCTGTACACCGGAATCTCCGCCCGTGGTCCTGACCCCGTCGACGGATCTTCGCAGCCACCGACGATCAACCTCTGTCCTGACGCAGTGTCCGACGAGGGTACGCTGCAGACCTACTTTGACATCGATAGCGCCGGTGGCCTTGCTCGTAGTCTTGCGGGTGCTCGCGGCGGCATTCAATAGAGGGCCGCCCGTCCGGCTATGAGCAACCTCCAAAGCTCCCTATCCCACGGGGGCAGCTGTAGTCTGCTAGACTGTAAGTGAAACTCTATTTTTTACTATGGGAGAAAAAAGTGGGTCCCGCTTGACTGCAGGTGAACTTCCTCGCTAGACTGCCGAGGTCTAATGGCCTCGGATTGGTCTAAAGTTTTGGGAGATTAAACCAGTATATCTGAAATTGCCCCTATTTGCTTCGGAGATTGCATAGCCCTCTAGTTGTCGAGAAAATGCCGATTGAAATTCAAGATGTTTTGATGGGGTGTGGGAATCTGGGGATGCGACCGAGGCCTTAGGCACCACTTCAGGGTTCATGATAAACCGTATGACCTCAATCATCTCAGTGTACAAGCATCAGGGTAGTTAGTAAATTTTTTGGGGGTTGATACAGTGACGGGTCATAAGTACAGTAAAACCGGTTTAGTACGATATAGTTGGTTTGGCTATTTTCCATCGTACTAACTAGGTATCGCACTATAGTAACATATATATATATATTTCAGGTTTACATACAGAAATAGCCCCTAATATCCCTCTGTTTTTGTGCATTTAATCTCCTATCCTGTATTAACCTCTGGTGTTTATACAGGCTAGTTATAAACTGCGTTTCGCCCCGATCCTGCTGCTCTTTATATAAACGAAGCGTCTCCAATGCATGAATGGCATCATTTATCGGAACCAGGGGGGTTTCAGGTATGGTTTCTGCATCTGTATCTTCACCATTATCATCATCTCTGGTGAACTGGGCTAGCACTATATCATCTATAGTCTCAATGCCATCGTGCACCACCTCATCCATAGGATTAAGGAAGTTCTCAATGCTCATTGGGTCTAGTAATATAGGCCTTAGCCTAGCCAAACCAGCATTAAGTTCATTCATTAGCTGCTGCTGTATTCGATAGTCTTCGCCCTTCTCTGTTAATGCCTTATTAAAGCAATTTGCAATAGTTTGAGCGGAAACATCAAATTGCCAGGCCTGAATCCCCCATTTTAATGCCTCAAGCGTATTCATAGATTGAATGGGATCAGGGCCTGCGTCAAATTCAGCCACCATAAACCTTACCCACTGGCGTTTCCAGTAGGCCTTCCAGGTTCTGATGATACCCTGATCTAATGGTTGAAACCGGCTCGTTGAATTAGCCGGAAGGCAGATGATCAAGGTGTCTTGAAATGGTAAAAGACTATTATTAATGGTCTTTACTGCGGATTCATGCGCATAGAAATTGTCCATAAGAAGCACCACCTTGCGATTAACCATCTGGCTATCAAACCATCAAAGCCATTCTTCAAAGATCTTACCAACCATCCATGCTTTTGTATTCGATCTCCATTAAAGATTAAAGTTATTAATATTGATGTGAGCGGCAGGAAAGGCGCGGAGTTTTTGAGCCGCTCCAATAAACCACGGAATCAATTTCTCAGAACCGTCGGAGTTACAGCAAAATAATGCTGTGATTCTTGATTTCTGTTGCTTTTTCCCCGATAGTTTCTTAGTAGCAAGGCTTTGATCAGGGGTTCGTCTCCAATAAAGTCCAGTCTCATCACAATTAAAGATATCTCGTGGATGATATACCTCGAGTGCTTGCTGGATAGGAATCATTGTCTCACTTGCGGACTCCGGTTTTCCATCTTCACCAGCATATAGCCGATTCCGAATTGATTCCCGACTTTGGAAGGCGTCTAGCCAACCATTACTGAATGTTGGCATGGAATGACCTTCGTATGTTGGTATCTGGGTCCAGAAGAACCGTGCTTTTGCCCGAATAACGCCTTGTGTTATTGGGATCTTCTTTTGTGCGAAAACGATCTAATGTATGAGTGCGGCTTCGAGGTCTGGCCACTTCGCAGTACGGCACCGCAGTACGGCACCGCAGTACGGCACCGCTTCGCATTTATCGTATGCTCGGTCGGATCGGTATCGAGATGTCGATATTTAGGGGAGAGGATAGCGGATAGGGTAGACTGGGTAGGTCGATGGTAATAGGTCTCATTAAACCAGTGAGCAAGCTGGGCTTGGGTAGTCAAAGGTTGCTTGCGGTGCTGCTCTCTGAGAGCGATCTTTTGCTGGTTCGTGATGGCTTGACGGGGCATTTTAATTGGTTGTAATGGGTTGAATATTAAGTAATTAGGTGAATAATGATCTGGATAGTACGATAAATGTAAGGGGGGCCTGGAAAAGTTGCGATATTTGGATGTGAAACTGAATTTTTCGGTGAGAAATTATCGCACTAACTAGGATATAGCACTAACCCAGGATCGTACTAAATAGGGTTTACTGTATACACTTCTACACCTCCCTGAATTAATTTCCTGGATTGACATCCCAGTTCTCTTTGTATGCCCTGGTTGGTATGAAGCGGAATTACGAGTGCTGAATCGACCCGTATGCCAGAAGAGCATACTGCCTTGAGCGTTCCCCTCTTCAATACATAACTATTCGGAAAAAAACACCCGGCGATATCGGTTTTATAGGGCCGCTCTCGGCCAATAAGAGCTTGTAAAAATCTTAGAGGTGGAACGTCTAGAATAGAGTTAGGCATTTGAACCAAACCTTCCTATCTAGTTTAATAACTTCTAACCGTTGCCACAAATTTATACAAAATAGATAAAAGTAATTGGCCTTCACATACGAGTAGTGGAAGTAAGCTAGTATATATAAAAAAATTTATAATATATATGAATACTATATTATTGACGTTCGAATTTGTACCCACCTTCGCCATATAGAATGGTAGTTTTGAAGATATTTCGCACGAGCAGGGTCCTGTTTAACGATCAAGATGGATCCTAGACGAGATACGGCTTTGACGGCGATCTGTTCCATGACTGTTGATATATGATTTTACATCCTAGTCTCACACAGCAGTTTCACCACTGCTTCATGGCCCCCGCTCGTGGGCGAGGGACAATGGTGTCCGGCCGCGCTGGTCTTTCACATCCACCTCCGCTCGCCTAGTCTCAAGCAGTATTTTCACCACTGCTTCATGGCCGTCCTTAGCGGCTTGGGACAATAGTGTCCGACCGTAAGAGTCTTTCACATCTACCTCCGCTCGCCCAGTCTCAAGCAGTATTTTCACCACGGCTTCATGCTCGTACTCGGCGGCGAGGGACAATGGTGTCCGACCGCGATTGTCTTTCACATCCACCTCCGCTCGCACAGTCTCAAGCAGTATTTTCACCACTGCTTCATGGCCGTGCTCGGCGGCAAGAGACAGTGGTGTCTGACCGCGATTGTCTTTCACATCCACCTCCGCTCGCACAGTCTCAAGCAGTATTTTCACCACTGCTTCATGGCCTTGCTCGGCGGCAAGAGACAGTGGTGTCTGACCGCGATTGTCTTTCACATCCACCTCCGCTCGCCCAGTCTCAAGCAGCATTTTCACCACGGCTTCATGCCCGTGCTCGGCGGCACGAGACAGTGGTGTCTGACCGTAAGAGTCTTTCACATTCACCTCCGCTCGCCCAGTCTCAAGCAGTATTTTCACCACGGCTTTATGCCCGTGCTTGGCGGCGAGGGACAGTGGTGTCCGACCGTCAAAGTCTTTTATATTGATGATGTCTGCCTTTTGTCCGTAGGTTGCAAGATAAGCTGTTTTTGGATTCCCATTTCTGGCAGCCCAAAATAAAGCTGCCCTATTCGTCTGTGAGTCCCTCTTATATAATAGGGGAGTGACAGTTGAGTTAAAGTAGCGACAAGTTCGAGATAAATAATTGATATCTCTAACCGTTTCAAGATGTTGTACAACCATGAATAATAATTCATTTGGTACGTGGCTAAGACCCATCCTGAAAGTTCGCTAACGAGCTTTTCATATGTGATGGGACAGCGAAAGAAACAAAAAATTTTAAGTTAGCTGAATTTTCTTGTTCAGGAATAACCAACGGGGGCAATGTAGTTCAACTAATGCAAAACAAAGGATAGAAAGGTAGGGTCCGAGGTCAAGAGTTATATTCAGGGGAGACGCTATGCTGAGTCAGTTCAATCCCTGCCCTCAGCTGAACTCAGCCCCAATCAAACCCCTCTATCCCACGGGGGTACCTACAGTCTGGCTGTAGTCTGCAGCCAAATCTGGTTGATTTAGCTATTCTTACGTGATGCTCCCTCTTACATAAATTACATAAATATAATAAATATAATAAAGTGATTGGAGTCCACCAAAAACCCGGATGAATACACTGTGGAATATATAGCGAGTATTGAAACATAGGAAAGCAACTCCCAGTACGATCCAACACCTGGTTGGTTCATCCAAGAGCTTGATTTTGAGGTTATTGGTTTGTTAGACAACTGGTTCAGTACTTCTTATGATTACATAATATTTTACGTAACTAACGTTGGTATAGCTAGGCTGCGGCATATCGTACGATAACGATAATGACCCATTATCGTTATCCGCAAATTGCGGATTGCGGATAATCGATCATTATCATCATCGTCGTTGCAGATATCCGCGGATATCTAAACGATAGTTTGGATATCAGCAAACTATCCGCACTAGCATAATGTCCGCTAATATATCCTATTCTGGACCATCAGGTGATACTTATGAAGCTGACAAAACACTGTTTTACATCTGAATCTTTGCATGTTTGGTCATAACAGTACTCATCCCCTATTTCCTTCACTTCTTCTGGGAAATAATAAGAAACAGTATTGTAATCGTTAATAAATCTTTTCTGAATAAACAATTGGTTTTGGTTTATAGCGAGCCAGTTGTAGTCGCCTGTAATTTTATAAAATTAATTAATGGGTGGTGGTTTGGCAGATATATATATTTGATGCCGAAGGAATATAGTACATTTCCCTGTAAAGTCTTAATTCAATATCCAGATCCACCAATAGTATAGTTTTGATCCTGAAAATAGTATGGATAGATTCGCTAGTTCGCAGTTCATCTATATGTTCATTTTACTCAGCATGTTTACATACCAAAGTAAGGCGCAATTTAGATTTGAAGTTTGGAACTGGCGGACTTGGCATTTTTTTTGGTGTTGGTGACACGCGGATAACTCTTGGATAATCCGAAGATAGTCGGCGGATCATCGGCGGATTATCGTCAATTATCGTCTGAATCTCCACATAGGCTTAATACATACCCAATTAGCATCGAGTATTATCGTGAGCACGTCGACATCGCGGGCGCACACGTTTGCCTACGCACCAATTTTCCCGCTAAATTCCTAGTAAGTCTCTTCCTGGTATACTCGATCGTTCTACACTTGGTGCCTGGTCCTCTACTCGTCATGTCTTATTCCCAAGTATCAAGGAGCCAATATGAGGCATCTCAGTACGCCAATTCATTCATCGATTCAGAATTTCCACAATCAGACGAATCCTCAGACGCGCTAAGCAGTTAGAGCATAGCACAATCGACTCCTGTCTCAGACACTCCCCCTCCCCCTCGATATCCTCGTGCCCCCGAATTACTACAGCGCGTCGGCAAACTCTTTCAACCATCTATATTCTCTACAACTGCGACAAAACCGATCCAATGATGGAGACGTCTCGGATACAGTTTGTACAATGGTGGCTAATGACTGAGTTTGGCAGCAAGAAAGAACTGCAGAAATCGATTAGATGGGATACTATACAGAAAAAGTCTGATGTTTGGAGCTCATTTGATCAGGTTGCAAATGCGCGGACTGGCGAGCCTAAGGTTATGTGCAACCGCTGTCAAAGTGTGGTTGTTCACCCAAGGTTCAATCGTTCTGGTCCCTCTCCCATGAAAAACCATCTTAATAGTGCGTACTGCTCTCAGCCGCGGAAGACTACAAAGCAAAGCATAGATCAGCTTCTCCGAGAGATGGTAAGTCTATCCTAGATCTAATCTATATTGTACACTAATTTTCCTTATCTCTACCTAGCCGCGTCAATCAACAAGCACGGAATTCAGCCAGACAACCCTCCAGAAGAAGATCCTCAAGTTTATCACGACTGCCCGTCTCCCATTCCGCACTGTTGAGCACCCAGAGTTCAAAGAGCTTCTGCAATACACCAGGCTCGCCAAATCAGAGCTCAATATCCCGTCCACCCGCAGTTTAACACGTCTTTTGGATAGTGAAGTCCAGGAACAGCAACAGAGCGTGCTCACCTGGAAGCTCTCTCTCTATCGCACTTGATTGCTGGACCTCTCCGTTTGGCCAGGCATTTATGGCAATCACTGGATACTTCCTCGACCGGGACTGGAATTACTGTGAAGTTCTTCTTGGATTTGAGCATATCCAGGGATCACATACTGGGACTCAGCTAAGCGAGACTGTTATCCGAATCTTCCAAGAGCATGGTATTACCGACCGAGTATTATCAATCACAACTGATAATGCATCAAACAACAACACAATGATTCAAGGCGTTCAAGAGATGGTTCAGTCCCAGGCTCTTCACAATACCTCTGTTTTCCGAGTACCATGCATTGTGCACGTTATACAACTTAGCCTAAAAGACCTCCTTGGAAAGATCAAAGCGAACCCAAAGAATGCAGAGGCCGAGTCAGAGTGGTCAGATGAACGTACGAAGTCGCTACAGTCCGCTCCAGATCACGCTTCAGGGAATATCGTGGCTACTTTGAAGAAGGTAAATGTATCATGTTATATTCCGAGGATATAATTGCTAAAATATTGTAGATTCGAGAGCTCGCTGTATTCATTACCGCCAGTCCTCAGCGCCGAGAGGCTTTCCGGGCGCTTCAAACAACAGAGCCCAAGCTTCTACCGATTCAAGATGTTCGTACACGCTGGAATTCTACTTTCTTGATGCTCGAACGTGCCAAGAAACTACAGCGAGTCTTCAACCAGTACTGTTCAACCCACCAATACGTTCAGTTTCAGCTCGGTCAAGAGGAATGGCGCCAAGTGGAGTATCTCCTTTTGGTCACAAAGCCTTTCTTTCATTACACCAAAATCTTGTCCAAGACTCAAGATGTTACTGTTCATTCGATCTTCAGCATATATAAGGAGCTCTTTAGCCATCTTGATGGTGTTGCGGAGTTACTAGAACGCAAGACTGTCCCTTGGAAAAAGAGAATGCTTCAGGCACTACAGGCAGCGAAACAGAAACTCTCAAAGTACTACGGAGCGACCGACAGTGAATCATTTGGCACAGTTTATGCAATTGCAACTATTCTGTGTCCATCGAAGAAGCTTCGGTTCTTTGAAGGCGATAACTGGAAAGGGAAAAACGAGAGGGGCGAAGATATTAATTGGATGGAGATCTATCGGGATAAACTAGTGAAGGAATTTGACCAATATCAACAACGCATTACTCGCCACAAGGAGCCCTCTCAAGCCCAAGTCGCTCAAGAAGGGGATGAAGAGGAGCTTGATCTTATAATGGATTTGCACGCTACTTTACAAAGTGAAATCGACCGACCGGAGGATGAGATCACACGATATCTTGCACAGGGTTTGTATACTTCCCTGCTTTATTATACGGCTTTCCAGCTAATTTATCCAATAGGTCTTACCAAAGGAAAGCCAAGGGTGTTCTGGAAGGAACATGAGCATGAATATCCAGTGCTTGCAGCGATGGCACGGGATAATCTGGCAACACCGGCTAGTGGCGCTGGTGTTGAGCGGCTCTTCAATTGTGCTCGTGATGTCTGTCACTATCGCCGGGGGCAGCTTAAACCAGAAACAATCAGGTCTCTAATGCTTCATTTGTTCGCATCGAAGTTCGAGCTTCAACAAACCGAGCTCGAGATGATCAAGGAGTATCTCTCTAGTGGAGAGGCTGCCATACTCGATCAAACATGGAAGCCAACTCCGTCGCTTAACGATATCGAGCCAATCAGTGAAAACGAAGAAGATGGTAACCATGCGGAGGATGGATCGGATGATTCAGAAAATGATCTGGGAGATAATCATACAGTTGAGCACGCGACTCCTACACCGGTTACAACGCAGGGCAAGCAACCACGGCGCAAGAGGCTTCATAGTGCCGTTGAGCCTCAGGATGATGGTGATAATGATCTCCCGCTTCCTGAAATGCCAACTGAAGGGTCCACGCAGGGGAGATCGGGGAGGAGGATTCGGAAGAAGCCAAAGCAGCCAGATGGATTTGAATTTGATAACCTGTAATATAATCTTGAATAATTGAATGCTGTTGCAATAAAGCGAGGCAAAGTAGACTAATTTGGAGAAAAGATCGTAGGCCACTCATTCGCATGACGAATATACAATCAATTACACATTCAATACTCCAAAAAATACTGGAGAAAATGCATAATTTATGCAAACTCGATCAGGTCACGAGTCCTAGCATGTTTGCAATATTTGTTATCGTACGATAATCCGCGGATATCAGCAAATGAAAATATAATTATCGTATCGTATCGTTGCGGATAATTCGATAATGAATTTATATCGTTATCCGCAATTTACGGATACGATAATCGATTATCTGCCGATAATTTGGATAGTGCCGCAGCCTAGCCATGGGTCGTACATAGAACCACCCGGCAATCCGAGAGAACTTTGAGATACGGCGGCAGCGAACGGCGGTCGTTCTCGATAACCGACTCCTGAATGGATTCGGTGGCGCTTGGGCTGGGCTGTGACATAGCTATAGAACATTAAAATCGATTAATGCAGACCTACAACCCCAGAATATCGTGAATTTCAGCGTGGGTTCTCCTGATTTTCAGCGGGCACTAGTCTACTTAGGGCCTAGCGCCGGCAGCGACTTAAGTTTCTGACTGCTGAAGCTCCCCACATCTTCTCCACCTTCTACAAATAGAATGTTTTATTGGCTACCCGCGACTCAACTCTGTTCGTTAGGCATATGCTCGGGGCAGTAGGGGTGCACTGGCGGATTATCAGGCGACTCGATGCTAACCACGAGCCGGACGATGCAGCTATCAATGAAAGGCTGCATAAATGGGTAGAGGAGAAGATCAGCGCTGCTGGGCTCAAAACCCTCGACTGGCTGGGTGGGTATAAACTCAATGAAGCCGAAGGGATCTAAGCAAGATGAATTTGTACGACTTCCAATATCATGCCCCTTGCTTCTTTCTGTATACAGGAGACTGCAGTCAATTGTTGTAAGCTATGAGGAAGGCAACATCCAGCGTTGTAAGTCCTACGACGCTCGATATCCTAGTACAGTCAAATTACCATGATACCTTCTGATACCAATATCGTGGAGAAGGCTTAGTAGCAGTGAGTGGTAAGTGGATTATGAAGGTGGATTCTGAATGTTGTGGTAAATTTACCTATGCTTCCCTTGTGCAATATATATATTCATGATAAGTTTGTCGGAAGACTACAATTGTACGGTCGGAGACAGGAATTTTCCACTACATCACCGCCCCCGGTGCTAGAGAACTGTAATTTGGCAAAAATAGTACTAAACTCGTAATGATTCATTGTGATGCCTCAAAATTCAAAAATAGGAACTGGAAAGTTTAGCAGAGGGATTGTGAATAACAGCGTTGGTTTTCCTGAATAACAGCGTGCGCTAGTCGGTTTTCTGCCTAGCTCCCGCACTCTTAACTATGTAGGGTTTGAGAATCACGCTGTTATTCAACGTGGAATAGTTATAGAGTCTCGTCAAAGTTATAAACGTCATCAGGGTCGATTCCAAATTGAAGGATCGTTTTTTGAACCAAATCAAACCACTCCCTAATGATTTTCGGGTCTTCACATTTCACGCGCTCGTAGTTATACCGTTTCGAGAATCGGGAGGAGAGAAGAGGGTGCCTTTTAACAAAATTCGTAACCCAATTTTCGCCGACCGAAGTAACCGGGGTGGTTCCACGTTGTTGAAGAAGAAGATTAGCCATCTCTCGAACTATAGAAGGCCGGGGCGCTGATCCACGAGAATCTATAGAGAGTATCCATTTTTGAAGTGATTCCTCTTCAGTTGCAGTCAATTTATGTGAATTGGCGCGAGAAATCGCGCGGTGTTGCATTCCATTAATTCGGTTGCGGAGAGTTGTACGCGGGACGTTAAAGGTACGCGCAGCAAGAGAAATAGAGCTGATATCTCCATTTTTAAAAGCCTGGATAGCTAACAAAAGCCTACCCTCTTGCTCTATTGAATTTCTAGAGGATTGAGAGCGAATTGGTGGCATGGTGGGTGGTTGAAGAAGCAGGGTTTAAATTAACTGACGCGTTTTGGTTGGGGTGGCCACTCGCTTGTAGTGGCCACTCGCTTGTGAAATACGAATACATCTCTTATGTTACATAAGTGTTTTTTAAATCTAGTCTCTATTCCTCCACATTAGATATCCAAAATTGATCTTAGTAGCAAATCAATTAAACCAGACTTCTATTATTTATTAATACTCTTATTTACCATTTAGCTAGTGGGAGCGTTGAGAGAAAAGAAAGTGTTGGGTGTATGTACCTTTTGTATGAACATGCTATATAAAAGATACCTAATTTTCACAATTTCTGTTGTCTGGGAAATTTCTGTTTAGTGGAACAGACCCAACCTGAGTAAGGTTGGGCTGGTAAGACGGATAGGGGCCACGCGCAATCTGATGGGTTCCGTCAATCGTTTTGATCGGAAATCAACCTGTCTATTTCTACAAATACCGCGGGGATTATTCTCGGTGGTGCAGCTGTGTCCCTGAACTACCCCGCCCTCATCACAACAGGCCCTAAAGAATTGGATCGCAGTTTATTTCTTCGTTCCAGTACACTGGCATCGTTAATCTATATCGAGAACTGTGCTCTCTATGAACTTAAAGCTTATACTAGCAAACCGAACGTTTAAGATATCAAGACCCCTTAGGTGACAGGTAAAGTTGTCTCTCATTGTACTGAAAATAAGCGTGTAGTTTCACGTAACAGGCTCTTGGGCAATGAGCACGCAGGAATAGCAAATCGGGCTCAGGCGCTCATCTCAATAAACACGACCGTATAGACATGCCTCGCATCTCCTTGTATCAATAAATTTGGCGTAGTTGTCGTAACGCTAGGGTCACCTCAAGATCGGCAGCATCTTTTCGCCCAAACAGCTGGAATCCCACAAGCAATCTTTTCAGCCAGCTTTCCTGGCTCAGAGCGAGCCTAGCAATACTATAATTGCTATTTGACTTGAACAAGCTGACCGATCTGATTAAGCTCGGTTTTAGCCTTTCGATCATAAAATCATCCAACAAGCCCTCTTCTTCGATCAAAAAGATTGTTAGGAGAATGTAGATCATCCTAGAGGAAATGGGTATATTAAAAGTTTCCGCTGCAATCCTCAGTCTGGAGTCGACTATCATCGAAGAACGCGGACTCTGTCTTTGCCCATCCATGTCGACGCCAAGAGTAAGATATTGTAACCCTCGAATTAGTTGCCGTCGCATGTCGCTGAGTCGTTGGAAAGGAGTGCCGGCGAGACAGGCCATGCAATTGCACGCAAAGCCCAAGGCTTCGTGACGTTCATATCTGGTTCTGCATTCGAAATCTGTGTTATAACAAAAGGTGACCTCTTCACCGACGTCTATGTCTCGAGTCGCAAAAGCTGAAATAATGTCCCCGCTAGTAGTGGGGATTTTTGAATTTGGTGTACAAGAATGGTTGAGGCGGGAGTGAAGAGGAAATAAGCCATGAGCTGGAAGCTTGTTGGGGTCTGACGTTACGATGCCAAAAGAGTTCTCGGCGAAGGCTGCATTCAAGCTTCTAAAAAGCCTCGACCCATTGTCCCGAAGGAGTAGGAATTCTGCTTTCTGACTGGGTAGCAATCTCTGAAAGGACATTGCGACGTGCTCTTCCGTGATGTCGGTATGCGGCCTTGGGATAATGAAGAGTGGCTTTTCGCTCAAAATTCGAGATCCTCGCTCAATGTGTCTTGTGGCGAAAGCACCCCATCCTTTGCCGGGCGAGGGTCGTAGCTCTAATGGTGTATTACTGGGTATTTGAAGCTGGTGGTATGCTTGCACAGAGAGTTTATTAGCCTCACTATCAGGCTACGGAAAGGGTGACCAACGGTGACTGGAAGAACCTGCGCCAGGTGTTGACATTTCGAGGATGAGACTGGACTGGAGTGGGTTTTTGGTAGCTTGGGTACAATAAATACCAGGAGTGGCGTCGTGAGTCACGGTGCACTATGAACTTCTCTAGCCCATAGCTTAGTGTGACAGGTCACCTTTAGAAAGCCCTTTGTGGAAGTCAAGACGCCGATGCATTATTTCTGACACGTCGTGCAGCGGAGAAGCTGTGCCCGCCACCTCCTTTTTCTCTGTCCACAATCTCTCCACGTCAAAGCTCTCACACTGCGATGGAAAACCCCGCGACAGACTCGGTGAATAGGTTCTTGGAGACGTCTAATAAATATGCTATGTCTTCAAGCCACGGAACCTGGCTTGCTTCGACGACTTCATCGGTGGTCATGCATGCATTCTGGGGAAAGTCTCTAGCACGGCACCTGCAGAAACCCTATTTGTAAATTGTGATACGTCGTGCCGCGGAGAACGCGACCTAGCAAATAAAATTAACACTGATCAATTACAGTTTGACAGAAGCGGGGGTGGGCAGGCATGCATTTAGGCCGCAAGTTTTGGTCTGATACACGTAATAAACCAAATCCTCAAACCCAGCAAGCTTCGAAGAGACGTGAGCTCACGTCAACTTCCCTATTCCCTATGAGAGACAAACGAGTCTCACTACTCAAATATCGTACCCCTCACGGTTCCAGCATGGCTCAGTCAGACAAGTGTCTTCCATGGCCGCCTAAGCCACTACTCTAATCGAACTCTCTCTCTCAGTATAGAATGTAATTTGGCATCGTCAAAGTGAGAAAAGCAGATCAGTTGATAGGCCCAGGACTGCAAATTCCAATTGAAGAGAAAACAGAAGAGAAGAACGGAAGGCGCTCATCTCGTATTTATCTACATTCGTGAGTTACCTATTCAGGTACCGGATCTCCCGTAATATTTCATAATAATCAGCTGCCTTCTGATTCTATGTTTGATTTAAAACAAAAGCTTTTATTTATAACCTAATAAAGGCATAGTGGGCTGACGATAGTGAACCAATCGGGGGCTCCGTTTGAACGAGGAGGCCCACTCCCACAGAGACGGCCCTAGTCACTCGAGTAGGATCAACTCGTTGCCCTTCCCCCCCCCCCCAAAGTCGTTCACACACAGTCCACGGCCATTCTCGTTCCGAAACCACCTAAGCGAAATCCTGCATTTCCTTAAGTCTCAAGATAAACGGCTCAGCAACCCGATCAATATACTTATAGAACATATATGCCAATTGAACGTCCTCTATCGCGATAGATGGCGGGAATCCAAGTTGACTCCTGAAGATAACCCGTACAATCTCGGAGACTGAATCGTAAAGGACGACTGTATTGCTTGGCATTTCTCGTTCCAATTCTAATCTCATCGTGTCGAAGATCTTCCCTGGTTGAGAAGAAAATTTGTTTTTCAGATCATTGGTCAACTTGAAGTCGTTCAGCGAAAATTCTCTCATGAGAAAATTGCTCTTGTACCGCTTCAATCTTAGGCATGCAATTTCCTCCGCAGTTTCCTCTCTAGGGATTACCCATCTCTCGTAGGAAATACCCCAGTCTTTGAGAGTGAGTGGTCGACAATTCCAGAACAGCATACTCTCATGCTTCGTGCAGAACGATTCAAGCTGGGGAGTGGGGCCCACGAGATTGGAGATCCGTAGATAAACGTAAATATGAGCTGTCATGGCGATCAGCGGGTTCCCTAAAAGTTGCATAAAGACCTCCTGCACTTGGACAACACTCCAAAGAGTAATGCTGCATAGTATAGAAGGTTCTCTTAGCCCTTGGACGATGGGCCTCAAGCGCTTGGCCTCTTGGATCACTTTATCAACCCCCTGGCACGTGAACTTCGGCGTCATAGGGTGGGACATGACATTGTGAAGGAAATCGAGTGCCTTGTAGGTATCTTCTTGAAGCTCATCAACACGTGACTTCTCGTTTCCTTCAACTGACTGGATAAGGCGTAATAAGCGAAGGCCCACACTGAAACGAAAGATATAAAAGTCCCGGTCCTTAAGCCCAGACCGGACCATCACGAATGAGTAAATGAAGTCACCAACGAAAATTGGTACAATGCTGCGGTCCATCTTGATCGCTACATCCATGACACTGTCGAGGTTCAGAACGGACCTCTAGCAATGTATCATGGAGTTTTGCATACCTGTTCCAGAGCGAATCCTTTTCACGTTCGAATATGATGTTTAGTCCCTCGTGGAACATATCATCTTTTCGCATTAGAAACTCTTCATTGAACCAATGCGGAGCGAGCAGTCGGGCTTGTTCTAAGGAAGAACTTATCTCGTTGTATATACAATTCGTAACTGCGGAGCCGAATCTGAATTAGTGGTTATTTTTTGGGGGTAGTCGTGAACTTACTTGCAGCAGCGGTGATGGGTCTGATCTCGTGTTTGAGCATGTCCTTCCATGTGCTAAGTATCTCGCTTAGATTACACTCAATCAAGGTGCAAAATAAATCGAATTCATCTTCATCGAGAGAATGCCCACCTCCGTGAGCTACTTTTTCTTCTGACAAAGAAGCCGACCGCTCGGTGTATTCCGACTCGGTATCGGTTGTTTCCTGCTCCTCGAGTTCCAAACACGCGAAGCGTTCGGCAACGATAGGGACGTGACCCTTGACCGTTAATTTTGGTGTTTGTTGAGGCGCTGTATTCATTTTTTTGACTTGCATATCCTTAGGGAGAAGGCCATTTAATTCGGAGAAGTAGTGCGCATGTGTATCGATGGATCTTCGGAGATACGAGGAGAGTCTCGTATTACCATGCTTAATTGCACGCTTTTGACGAATGGTGTATTCATTCCGAGATTTCTCTCGGGAAAGAAGAGCTTCCTTGAGAAGATATCTTATTTTGAACTTTGCCCCATCCTCGCAGTTGTTCAAGAACTGCTTGAGGCTTTGTACTAGCCCTGCTAAGTTGGTAGGTTTCGGCTGGTCCTGGCTCGTAAATACAAGGTCAAAAACTTCCTCTTCCTTGGACTTATAGTTGTTCCATAAAAAAAACAAAAAAGACATGTCGATGGATATGATAAGGCTAGGCGACTTTGGAATAGGAAATCAAGTGTGGCCAGATCAGCCGAACGGGGACGGGTTGAAGTTTTGTGTGATCTAAGGCGGTGTGATAATTGGCGGCGCTAGTAATCGACGAGGCTGTCATGCTCAGCCATATGCAAGCGCTACTTTTAGGGCGCCAGATGAAAAGTACAGTGAGTGGAAATAAGTAATTACATGCCGCAACCACTCACTTTAGATTACAAAATATTCTGCCGACCGAAAAAAACTCTCCATATATTATAATTACCTCTACTAAAACGGCACATATAGAAGCTTTAGCTTTAGGGGTCGGAGAGAAGAACACAGCATTTCGCTCGCGAAGAATAGCTTCGTATATGTTGAATACTAAAGTCGAAGACACGGTTGAGGCGGGGTAAAATACCCAGAAAATCATGTGACCATGGTACCAACCATTAGGCTTCCGCACGACCCAATTTGGGTCGAAAGCTAGACCTCCGCAGAGCCCATAAAGCCCAAAGCCCAACCCACTCCAACCCACTAATGGGCCGGGTTTTGGGCCCGTTCCTGAGGCCCATCGATGGGCCGTGGGCCTAAGGTAAGAGCCCACTGGGGTTTTATGGGGGCCCAATATGCCCCAAACACTACAAACTTGCCAATTCTTGGCATTTGCATAGTAATGCAGAATTTCCTAGTATTTTTGAGTATTCAGATTACTGTCTGAGGCCCCCAATTGATTGAGAATTCACTGATTAATGAGATTGATAAGATTAACTGATGAGATTGACTGATGAGATCAACTGATTAGATATTAGGTGAGGTTAACCTATCTACATGCTAATCTAATAACGTTCATACAAATTATCCTCAACATGCTTCCTCTTCCTCCCCGATGTACGAAGCTGAGACGGTGCAGCAGTGATAGTAGCATCGTCATTATCAACGCCATCGTCATCGTCAAATCTATCAGATCTCTAGATCGAGTAGATCCAGATCCATCACCCTGCTCTTCAGTATCACTGATCTCTTCAACGTCGATATCATCTGGCTGCTCATCTTTCTCCTCCGCTAATGCCTGGATCTCATCAGAAGTAAAGAACTGTTCAAATTCCTTCGCTTCCTGTACTTCAAGGCTGAACCTTGATGTACAGAGGTACAGCATCAACTCTTCGATAGTATGCGACTTCAAAGAGCCACGGCGATAGTGGCAGACATCGCGTGCAGTGTTGAATAGACGTTCCACCCCAGCGCCCGTCGCTGGAATTGCAAGGACATCTCTTGCAAGTGCGGCAATGGCCGGGAAACGGAACTGATTCTCTCTCCAAAAGGATAGCGGCTCCGAATCAGTTACATCTGTATGAAATTAGTATCATGAACATGGGGATGAACATAGGGATGAAAATAAAATTGAACTTACTGCCGTCGAGATACTGCGTCAGCTCATCCACAACTAGGCCCGGTGTCACTTTGGAGTGAGACTTCTGGGTTCGAACAAGGTTATGAAGGTATGATCTTGGTGTCGATCCAGAGATAGGCCCGTAAGGGCCTTGGGCACTAGCACTAGCGCTGGTAAGACGTTCCTGGATGGGAACAAGTGCCTCTCGGAAGGCCACCCGATTCTGATCACGGAGTTTTTTGGTATCCGCCCAGTCATCAGAAAGGAAGAACTGGAACCTACTATCCGGCGATAGCATCGTATAAACCGCATAGATATGCCCCCGCATATGATCCGTCTGCTCATAGTACTCAGACAGCTTTGAATGGCTTGCTTCGAGGGAGGTAAGCATCTCTTTCTTCCAAACGACACGCTTCCGTTGTAACTGTATCTTTGATCGTTCAATGTGCTCAAATAGCAAGTTGTAGATCTGGAAGACAAGATGCGATGTCACGTCTCGAGTCTTCGAAAGGGCAAGGGTATAATCAAAGAATGGCTTTGTGAGACAAAGAAGATAGTCAACCTGGCGCCACTGATCATCATTAAGTGCGAACTCTGGATAGTCATAGTGGTCACAAAACATGACAATGAAAGAACGGAGTCTTCTTGCCCGACGAAGCATTAGAAACGTTGAATTCCATCGAGTCTTGACATCCTGGACTAGCATCAGACCTAGGGCTGGAAGTTGAAGCTTTAGGAATGACTCCCGACGTTGAGGACTGGCCTGGATAAAGACTGTGAGGTCTCGCATCCTTTGTAAGGTATGGGATATGCCCCGGTTCTGTGCGTTCACCTTGGCGAGGGTCATTTGACGATCTGTCCATTGAGTCTCAGCATGTTCATTCTTTGGGACTGCTTTTAAACGATCAAGCAGTTGATTCAAACTCAATTGGATAACATGGGCAAGACAGGGGATACGGATAACGTTGAAACCACTGGCTAAAGACTGTTGTAGTAAAGACTGCTGTAGCGAAGCAACCAGAGTTTTGTTGTTTGAGGCACTGTCAGTCGTCAATCCAAAGATTCGGTCCTGAATTCTATGCTCAGTGAGCGTCTTTATAAGCACAGCACTTAGGTTTGCACCTGAATGCGTACCATAAAGGGGTTTGAACCCGAGCAGCACCTCGCGGTAGATCCAGTCGACGTCGATAAAATAGCCAGTGATAGCCATAAACGCCTGCCCCAAATGGAGATGTCCAACAGTCCAACGCAACCGAGATCTTCGTATGCTCTGGTAGCATCCTGAGTGTATCCTGCTGTCGCACTTTGACCCGAGCAGATAGCTGACGTCGGATTGTATCAGCGGATGGTATGGTCAGAAGGCTTAGAGCTGACGCCGATCGTAAAATAAGGCGACGAAAGGCTGCATTTTCGACGAGTTGGAAGGGGAGCCGGTTAATAGTGATGAACTGTAAGTCGTCGTTCCAGGCATCTTGCGAGAATGGTTGACCGTTATCCTAGGTAGAAATCACTGGTTAGTAGTGCTATAACATGATACACCTTAACATACCGCTGTTTGAAGAAATCTTGTTATTCCATCTCTCTGTCGGCGTCCACTCGTGGCTTTTTGGCAGGCTGACGTCTGAAGATGACGGGTAATAGTCGTCGTTCCATGACGACCAACCCTCCCATTGGCATCCTTCTTGGTAGTATAAGGGTGCTCAAGAATCACATTGCAACGCTTACACATAACCTTTGGGCTCCCAGTGCCCGTATGCGCCACTTGCTCAAACTGTTCCCAGGTCTCCGAAGCGGAACCATGCTGCGACTCCCAAGCGATCTTGTTTTTAGATCCATAGTCAGTCTCCAACCACCAATCGACCCAGTCGCTATGATTCATCCCGTCGTACAGAAAATACTGGCCTCTCCTGCCAGGGCTGACACGTTGGAAGCGTTCGAGGCGATCTAGGGCGATAGACGATGGAACAGACGGCTGAACGAACGAGAAGCTATCAACCTGCCGAGAGGTAGACGGGGTAGCTAGGCAATTCGAAGGGGTAATAAACGATAAGTCGTCAGGCTCAGAGTCGATCAGGCTCAACTGAGAGGATCCAAACTCAGTTTGCTGGCTTTGCGACATGATCAGTGGCGGTCAATAGGTTCAGAATTAGATGAAGGGCTTTTAGGGGAATGGCTTCAGGGGAATCAGGGTTAGGGAGGAAGAATTCGACATGACCTACCTTCTCAACGAGAGAACTGTCGACGCGGTAGGCAAACAGAGGATGTAAATAGAGGATTATACTCCGTAGTGCCAGTCGACATTAAAACGAAGGGTCGTAATACTAGTATTTCATTGGCTAGATTATGCATATTCAGTGGATTCGGCCCATCTAAAGCCCAAGAAAGCCCATAGATAACCCATCTCCCCGCCCATTTTACAATTTGTTCACCCAAAACATTCCACCCCATAGCTCATGAGATATCTTAACCCCTCTCTCACCCCCGGCATAGCTGGAATATCACGTTTTTCCAAAAGCAGAAGTCGAGAGTAGAATATTAGCTATCTATTGATATAAAATATAATCCTGTAAACCTACAATTTACGAATTTGACCCTTGAATTTACAGTTCAACAGAAAGATGCACTTACTTCTACATACATGAGATATATATCTCTACATGTTGACACTTAGTAATTCTCTAAGTGCCAGAAAATCATAGTGAAATTGGACTTTTTTTGGGTAATCTTGGTAAACTGTAGTGCCTAGTGTAGCTGGTTTTATCTATGATCTTAATTACCAGGTCGTCGCCGTTGAATCTTGATATCTTGATTCTTGGAGTAGTTGAACCCCCGGATTGGGCTTGGTAAAACGTCGGCCCGAGGTATGGGCTTACAGACTGGAACATACGTAAAAAACAGGCATTAATCATCAGGTTTATGAGCGCCAAGACTGTAGTTATGCACAGAAATGGGCTTTCTTGGGGGCCTTATGGGCCCCCACTAATGGGCTTTGGGCCCGGAGGTCGGGCCCATTTATGGGCTTTGCGGAGGTCTACAAGTCAGCGATAACTCTATATGAAGCCATATCTTTGATATCAGAGTGCAGTGCTGTTAGGGTATCCTACCATGTTAGCATACTAGACGGGTACTCGGTTAACCAGTAAAGGTAATATGTGCATACCATTTCAACCCTCGATTTCGCGCAAGAGTAGAAGCTTTTCCACTTCCTCTCTTTCGTGGAAATTCATGCCCGGTCAGTCCCAGAATCGGAATATGTGTATTGAACTCACGTACAGTGTTCCTCCAACTTTATTGAGGCCCTGTATGTGACACCCAATGACGATATATTTGGCAGTAGGGGGCCCATAACTATTTCCCAGAGTGCCAGGATATGTGCACATGTTTGTAGACCCAAACTCCGTAAGATATCACGATAAAGATAATCTTGGAAACCAGTGCCATTCGATCTAAATCTTGCCAGTATACACTTCAATGCTACATATTCATTCGGCAATAGCCGGCCATTGGCCCATGACAAAATTATCCCCTCTGAATTGCATTCATTGAAGTTAGGGGATGACAGCCGGCTTCTCTGAACTGGTCGCACAATATGTGGGTTGGGGAGCTCGTTGTTCTATGGTTGGAGATGATTGGATTTCCTATTGGATATAAACTGCTAGTACACTGTGGCGTGGAAATAAAGCACTCTAAAAGTGTTTGTAATCCTTGTCCGATATCACGCCTTTCTTTTTTTTCGATCCAGCCGGCTCCATAATCTACAAAGAAGCATCACTGCGACTTATGAAAACCATGCCGTTGGATAGTTTCTGCCATGGAAGAAAAAAAAATCATTGTCTCGGTAAAGACCCCATGTTGCTTCCCTTCTCGGCTTGAGCCGACATAATCCCTTTAGTTTCCGCTTTGGATGAAGGGAAGCTTGACCGCATCAGCGCGAGGCCTTGCGGCTAAAAGCCTTTCATTCATGGCCAATTTTACATGTGAAACCTGGAAAAAGAAATAGGCTGTGTTCATTGGGGAAACGAAGAGGTAACAGCAGCTGTATCGGTGCCTATCTGAAAGCCGGAAGAAAGGGATCGACGACAATGAGCTCAGATTGTGCTAGTTCGAGATAAGACTAGAGCAGAAACAAATTATTCCAAAAACTTTCACGATGCTTTTTCATCTGCGTTGCTGCATATTGAAATTGGATTACTCAGGATATATTGCTTCAAATGCGGCTGCGAAATCAAACATGAAAATGACAATCGGGAGGGTCTCGCAAGGGTAGTAGTCTTGTTCTTTGTATCGAAAGGCGAGTCGCAGTTCAGTCCAAGAGGACTGTACATGACATGGAACTGGGCCCTCATGTCTTCTAAGGCCTGCAGTATGTCTTGAAGAGGTTCACGCCTAGAAAGGATTTCTTTCAATGGCTCAACTACGGAATAGACCAGATCATCTAGTTTTGCATCGAGACTCAATATTGAATCTTCCGCATCCACATACAATGTGCCAACGTGCGTTCGCGTCTGTGAAACCACCAGTTGCGAGGCGCTTTCGACGGTGGCGTAAATAAAAGGGTCGGCTCCGATTTCTTTCAGCCGCTGTAATTTGTTAGAGTTGTTTGAGAGAAGAAAGAGAGGGACCTGTAGGACCACGGCGACGTACTTCTTTCACTTGGGGCAAGGGATTGACGTGTACCCTGACCAACCTGGCATAGATTCTGTGGGCAAGGAGCTCGTAGTACCAAAGAAATTCGTCAATGGGCTTCGATGAAAACCCGAAGGCCTACCGGACAAACTCTTTATTGGGTACCTCGTGGAACTTTCGGTAACTTTCTTTTGCGAGCTCTATGGCGATGTCCGCAGGGCCTCCAGCCACAAGCTGGGATATATTTAACATCCACTGCTTCTGATCCGGAGTATTTTCCTCCCGATGAGGAGGGAATACATTCAGGCCCTTCAATTTGGCATATTTCTTGTCACAAAGGCCGAGCTTGCAACAACAAACTGGCTCCTTGTCTCCCCGGAGTGATATATTGTCATGCATATGCTCGTTGTCTCCATCGGGATCTCTGCATAATTGTTCTGGTAGTTGGTCTTTCTGCGGGGTTCCGACAGGCGTAGATGGGATTGAACATGTATATTCGACGACTTGAAAATGGAAATATTTGCTTAGTGCGCGATCAAGGCAGACGATGTCTAAGTTCTACCTCCCTGGTTTTGGAAGAAAACTTACCTTTTGGGCTTTCACTGCTATACTGTGCAAGAACAGTCATAGTTGGTGGAAATATGAATGTAAGAGGTGTCTAGTGAATACAGGGGAAGATGCGCGTACATTTATCAAGAGCGCACTATATGCCAAGGATTTGTGTCTCGCTTGCATAGATCCTCGTAGCGGCATCATAGCTTGAAACCCCTATACTTTGGCTGGATTAGGGAGTCCCGAATGACCCATGAGTAGACTAACACCCCTGTCAGCTTTGTAAAAGGGCCAGTGACCATAAGTCTAGATCAGTGCAAGCAAGTGCCCGCGCTAGTACGATCAAATTGCTGCAAACCCAATTTTGTGGAGCTCAATATTCACCCGGACGGACTTCCCCTGCCGAGCACTGACTGGCGCGAAGATCAACCAGGCTCCGCACTCCAGTTCCCAGAACGCTCAGCGCCAAGCCCGTAATTACGGATTATTTCAATACACTGTGATCTATTGGGTGTAATACTCATAAAATACTGTCCTTTTGATAGGCTTTGCTGGTTGAATCAGCATCGATTGATATGCCACACCATGCATGGCTGACTGCTGACTTGTGCTTCACCGCCAGCACCCAACTTTCTCAAACCCAACTGTGGGGCTGTATTTGTCCAAATTACAGCACAGTCTGTAGTCTCTCTGGGCAAGGATGGGACAGGGCTGCCCGGGTAGCTGAGTCCCATCCCTGCCCGTGCATTAGCGCGTCAGGTCACGGGTTTGTGAATGGCAAAGCCTCATTTGTCTAAGAACAGAGCGAGTAATTCAGCTTCGTATAATTTTATTCAAAGTTGTATCTGTCTAGGAGAATGATCCCAGATGGATTCACAGGTAGGCTAGCATTCGCGGAAAGTCTTCGAGACAAATATCAGCAGATATAAATTGCGCAGTTTCTATTGGATAGTCTAGTGCTGCGAACGCCAGTTGCACTCGAGTAGTGAGTGTGTGTGTGGGGACTGCAATCTGTGTTTGCAAGCTTATAATAGGATACGTGGCGCGCACGGATATCATTGGCATTGGATTGGAATCAGGCTACCATTTCCCCTGGGTCTGATTCGTTGCGGGCCGTGCCGGCCTGTGAACGAATTTATGGTGTTATTTATCCATCAAGGGGAAAAGACGCAAATGGTGGAGCATCTAACATACTCGGGCGGATATAGAAAATTCAACCGGAGGAAGAGAGCACGGCGTGAAGCCAGAATTGTAAGGGAAATTGCGGATGGAGAAATCGAGATTCAGGTCAAACTGTATAAGAGGATGACGAAGAAGAACCTCGAAATTGAGCCTATTGTATCTAGATAAAGTAGGTAGACGACCTATATAGGTTCGATGAATTAATGCGATAGATTTGAAAAATCTGCATCAGACCTTGTATTGTTAGGGAGTTCTGTGGGTCATGACCCAGTAATACGAATACTGGCTTAACCCTAATGCATGAGTAGTACGTATCTGGATGGCTGGACAATACCATCAGTACAGGCGATCCAACACCGTAACCGGCCCTTACATTTTTCGTAAAAAAAAGAGGGGCCGGTTACACTCCAGGTTTGCGGGGGCGACGACCGTTCGACCATACCACACTTTGTTCGCGCGCCAACAGTAAAGTGTCTGGTAGTCAGCAGGAGCCTGCCCCGCCAGTACAGGCAAATTGTCCGTGCGTTCTCAACCAATAGTAGTGGCCTATATCGTTGGAGGTGTGGACCACTCAGTAGTGAAATACTTTAACTAGCTAGTTAGTTAACGTATTTCACATGCGAGCTGCGCACACAAGCGAGCTGCGCAGTCCGATACACATACTAAATGCGATACATTACAACTGGATATCCTAACAATACACGTCTATATGAGCTTTTCCTTATAGCCTAATGCTTATTATACAATATTTTGTCACTTTAGGAAGTTTCAGGAAATTTAAGAACTTGATGATTGAGATATATATATTCAGAGGCTTCAAAGATGTAATTTTTAATACCATAACAATGCACGCTTTCGATCTATTCAAAATTGATATATACTACTTAAAATACTTATCAATGGCTATCTGCATTTTTTTTAAAAAAAAAATTAATAAACAAACGTTGGTTGTTGAGATGTGAGTATAGCACATATCGCATTTATTATGGTGTTTCAACTGCGCAGCTCGCTTGTGTGCGCAGCTCGCATGTGAAATACGTTAACTACTACTAACTAAGGGTTAGTTACCATACAATGGCATAATACATATGAGAAATGCTAGAGCAGGTGGCGCAGCTCCCCTTTACTTACTGTTAATAGACCTGGCTTTGAACCTCCGCATGGGTCCCTACCCTGGAACCTCGACCCGCCAAGGGAACCGCCAAGGACCCTCGATTTTACATAAAGGTGTATTAAAGAATGGTTTATAAGCAAGTTATTTCCTAATTAGGGTGAGTCATACATATATAATTTTAGTGGAGGTTCCAGGGTCCGGATTTTAGACCCTCCTTGGCGCCAAGGAGGGTCCAAGTGGAGGTTCAAAGCCAGGTCTATACTTACATGTGGAAAGAAGGGCGGTGTCAGACCCCTGTGATCAGAAAACGAGCCGAACTCCCTCAGCTTCCACATCTACCTCCAGCTGACCGGAGCCGCAGACCCCTCATGCTCTATTTCTCCCGTCGTCGACTGAAGGGGGTTTGGGCCGGCTTTTATTTTGATTAGCCATTTGTCCTCGACTGGAAGGCTGCGTTTTGCAAAAGGGCTTTCAAGTTGCTTATACTGAATCTTATTAAAAAGAAACTATACGGGGACGACTGGCCTACCGGTGATGATGATACACGGTCTATGCTTCTCTTAAGCTTCTCTTAAGCTTGTAACTGTTTCTCTGTGGGATGGAAGTTGATGCATGAACGCTGAAATCATCGCTAGGTGAGGTTTTCGGAGAAAACATGCTGGGGCTTTCAATTGTGTGTAGTCGGCTGCAAGCATCGTTTGCACACAAACATTGGGAAAATATAGGGGGTTTACAAGGGGCGTTTGCAGGCATATATGATTGGATGCAAATGTGGGGCCAGTGTGAGCTCTTCCTTTCAGCGTAAAGAGTTAGAAAAGCCCACATTTTGTGATTGCAATCTCGTCGATCCTTTCGCGGAAACCCACTTACTCCTCTTCCCGATAGCCAATTTTGAAAACTACTCGGCGACCCATCACTCAATTGGCCAAACCCCGGTATATGAGGCGCAAGATTCACTACCTGGCTGTAGCCCTATCGTATACTTCTATTTGATGTAGAGTGAATACATAGTGCACACTGCTCTCCTTCGACTACTTTTTCTTCTCTTTTCCCTTAATATTTCATTTCATTGTTCTATATTCGCGCCTTCCAAGATTAGGTCCACCACTGATCCGCCATTCATTCCTTCCCTTCTATAATATATCTCACTTCCTCAATTACAACCAAAAGCTATTGGTTTCAGTCCCGATTCACCAAGCCAAATTGCTCCTCAACGGTAAATTGGGCGCCCAAGATATACCCAGTGTCAAGGACCCTGGTTAGTTGCGACAACAAAACAAGACAGCCGCGCCTGGCAGCTTCAAACACCGCACACCCGGGCTCTCCACTTGCAATGGATCGCAATCCTTCCCCGGATGAGCACCATGTGTACGCGGGCCCGCTGCAGCCACCAGGATACTCCCTCATGTGTAATCGTGAGCTGCCACAATTAACACCAGAAAGCACATATGGTCGACCGAATGGCCATGGCCTGCCCATGCATTCCCGGCAAGACCAGGTTCCTCCTTACCCAAACATCCACCAGCCAATGAATGGCGCGCCGTACGAGGGCTCACCTGATTATCGCGCTCGTATGGGCTACCCACCCCTGGATCGGATCATTTCGAGCCCTCCGCCTTCTGCATCACATTCAACAATTCACGTTGCCCAAATGGCGAGTACTACGCCGCCTGCCGGGTACGATCGGGCTTTTTGCCAAAGCGAGGCGTTTAGAGCACGCCAGCGTAAGGCAAATAGAGCTACGCAGGTAGGTCAAGCTTGTGGAAGACAGTATAGTTTTAGGAAATTTTTGAACTAACACTCGAGCTATATAGGCTTGCAATCAATGCCGAGCTAGGAAAGCAAAGTGTGATGAGGGACGACCAAATTGCAGTCACTGCAAAGAGAACAATCTTGGCTGTGTCTACAAAGAGGTGTCACCGCACAAACAAGAGAAGACTACCCAGCTGATATTGGACCGGCTCTCCCAGATAGAGAACCGCATGGAGGAGCGAGACAACAGCATGGATGAGCGTTTTGAAAAAATGCAAATGCAAATGCAAGAGCAAATGCTCAACAATTTGGGTAAACTACCACCTCAGACTGTCCAAGATCGTCCGGTCCTCCCAGCACCACCTCCACAACCCGTCATCAAGCAGGACTTGCTTCTCAGAGCAGTGATGCCTCAGACCCAGGTCTCAACTCCAAATATTTTGGACCTCGGGAGTCAGGATGCAGCAGCTCCGAAATTTGGCCAAAAGCTTGGGCCTATAGAACCGAGGCTCGACGATCAGGAGGCCGAGGGAGATCTCTCCATTCCGGTGGAACACACTACTGCAGCTCACAAGCTATTGATGTGGCCGTCAATCAAGAGGCTACTACACTCTGCAGAATACGACGAGGATTATGTGATGCGGTTGGAAGAAGAGCGCGGTCTCATCAGCATATACGGCCAAGGCGAGATCTCATACACAGCAGATGACAGTCAATTACCAACAAATGGTGACCCCAAGGGTGCCCAACCCAATGGAAATTGCGTAGGACCGGATGCTGATGTCGACATCGATGAATCTGGGAACTTGAAACTGGATGCTGTCACTGCTAGGCGCTACTACGATAGCTACTTCCAGCACATGTTTAAGCTTCACCCATTCCTTATGGAAGGCGAGCTAAATATTAAGGTTGATAGCTTCATCCGATGTTATTGTCGCATCAATTCCTCACCGAGTTCGGCTTCCAATTATACACGACTACCTCGCGATGATCCGCCACCAGCCAAGAAGAGGCAATCAAACGAGAGC